CCTCAAACTCGAGTTAAAAAAAGACCAGATTTATTGAGTTATGATTCTACATCCCAGCTCATATCCCATGACTGAATGCTGAAGGAGAGAAAGCAACATTACACGACATCAATGTGCTTTTCTGTAATAGTTTTGTGATGGAGGATGACTTCATGCCCTAGGCTGACCAGTTAATTCTCCTGCCAAGCTGCTTTTGGGTAACCGGGTGCTCAACCCATGCAGGCTGAAGTTTTGTCAGCCTTCTCCCCCCGTTTTGTCACACATTTGCCTCTCTCGCTTGCTGAGCTGCAGTTCTGCCACCATGACACTTCCACTGCTGGGGGCAGGATGCTCCTGCTGCCCACTCCCAGCTGCTTCCTGTGAGGAAGGGACCGGCTGGTTGTGGGGACAGAAGGGTGTAAAATACTTTGATTCTTATGAAGCCCATAGCACCCAACACCTGCAGCTCCTGTCTGTTTCGGCCACCTCAGCCGTTCTTTCTGGCCAGAAGCAGATCAAATCAAACGTGCCTTTGGCTGGAATGCAAGATGGACAGCAACCAAGAGCAGAGCCCTCAGGGAGAGCTTGGCCTCCATCGATCAGCCACTCAGGCTTTTTCTTTCCTGCTTTGCTGTTCTCTCCAGTTTTACAGCCTTTGTTGCACCCAGTGAGAGGTTGGCCATGATAAAAAAAATGTGCTGAATTTGCCCGCAAGGGAGGTGGACTCTGTCTCCTCCTGGCCACCACCAACAGGGGGGTTCTGGGGGCCACAGAGGAAGCCGCTGCCTTTCTGTGCTGCCAGAGAGAAGGTCCAATCCTGCTCTTGCTCCATGTGCTGTGCCCACGCACACCTCGCGCCTTCTCTCCTTCCTGATGTGACCAGCATCAGTGTCGATACTCATAGACATGCTCACCCCTCATGTAGCATGACACATGCGTGTCTCATAACCAAGTGATTACAGTACGGTCAAGGGACAGATGCAGAGTTGGCCATAAGGCAGGGGGTGGCTCATGGAGGCCTGAGGAGAGACTGAGAGGAAGCAGGGCACCCTCTGGCCAGTCCTGCCCAGGGGGAAACATGCAGTCTCATCCTTTTTTTGAACCTTCTGACACTCTGCCTCTGTGACCCTTGGGCCAATAAGGTTTCCTGCACACAGCATAAAGAGGTTTGGTTTTTTTTTCTGCCCATTTGAACCCAACCTCCTACCTGTTTTACAAGTGTCTTGAGTCCTAGTGTTGGGGGATTTAGTGAACAGATTAGTCAAATGGCCCCCTTCAGCCTTCTGCTCTCCCAGGTGAGGAGTCTCAGCAATTTAGTGCCTGCTCCTTAGCAGCTCCATTTCAGTTGTCTTTCCTCATGCTTCATCTCAGCCGTTTGCTGCTCAGCTCCTCTGGGGATGTTAGTGAAAAGGCTGCAAAGCTGAGTTTGAGATGGGTTTCAGTCTCTGCGCTGCTGCTCCTTGTGCTGCTGCTTTTCCCCTGGCACACCCTGCTCCATGCCACTGCTTCCCATGAAATGTGTCCTGGGCAGCAGGGAACAGGGAAGGGGTTCGACCATACCTATCCCTTGTGTGGGCACAGCAAGGCATAGCATAATTCTTTTTGGAAAGGCATTGCCCAGATGAGACCAGGAGCTACTATGCACATTCTCTCTGACCTTCCACTTGTTGTGGTCTCTGGACCATGCTGGAAGCAGAGCACCGGTGGGTCTCACCATCCCTTGCCCTCCAGGCTGATGTAACACACTCCATTTCACAGCAGGCTGCTTCCCAGCCTCCCTGTACTAGCACAGCTTGACATTTCCAGAGTCTGGCGTTTGCTGGCTACATGTTCAGGTTGTTTTTCTCACCGTACTTTTCATCTTCATAAATGAACTCTCAAAACAGTTCCCTCCTCACTGCCTTTAGTTGTTTAATCTGCAATATTGTTACTTAATGCAGGAAGAAGCCAGGCATCGAGTTTGCTTGAAGGAAACTCTGCACGACCACAGTTTCAGAAATACAGCAAAAAAAACAAGTTATTTCCTGAACGCCCCCAAGAATGACTGTGGTTCACGGGGAAAAAGCCGTCCGCCTTTGGCGAGGAGAGAAAGAAAACTACACCTCCCAGCAGCCCGACGGGTGCCTGTGGCAGGGCAGAGTTCACTGTCACGTTGACAGGGGAGGATTAAGGGTGTGCGCTGAGGCACCGGCTGACCAGGAGAGCCAAAGGGCCTCTGGGAAGGGCAAGCGGAGGGGCCAGCGCTGGCCTTCTCCTGCCGCCCCTTTGCTTCACTTCGCTACCCTGACCGGCTCCAAACCTGCTCGGGTAAGAGTCCGACTCCTCAGGCTACTTTATTCCTCTCACTTCCTTCTTCTGCCAGAGCGTCGCCAGCGGGAACAGCACAGGGAGGGGAGGGACAAGAGCCGGGCAGCAGAGAGCAGCAATTATAACACCACCCCCACCCCCCTTCACCTCCAAATCTTGCATTTAGCAAGGAAACTCAGCTGTAAGGACAGTGCGGGTCGGGGGCTATGCTAGAAGAGCTGCTGGGAAGGCTGGGCTTGAGATTTTTGTACAGAAATACACACGAACCGCTCTCCAGCAGGGAGTTTCTTGGGAGTTTTCCGTCCTGCCTAGTTTTGCGCATGCAGGCGTTGCACTCGTTCCTGCGTGTCTGCCCAGTCCCAAAGCGCTTTAGCAGAGGGGTGAGTATCGCTGGGGGGATGTAAGTGAGGCTCCAGGTTCACCACACCTGGCCAGGGCACTGCTGAGCCCCCTCGGATGGGTGCAGGGTTGGGTGGGGGTAACGCTGCTGCACAGGGCCCAGGTGGTGTTTTGGCCAGTGACTTTGCCTTTCAGCACCACCATCTCCCAGTCTGACACAGTGGAGGCAGGAGGATAAGGTGGAGCAGTCTCATTGCTCTGTGTTGACCTGGCTGTGAGATACCAGGTGCCCAAAAGCACACGGGGCAGCTTGCTGAGCCCCTGCCTCCAGGCCTGCCACCTTGGAGCACCGCCAAGTCCATCTGGATAAGAAACCGGTGCCTCATCCCACTGGCTTGTCCCAGGAGAAATGCGGTCTGCGTTAGCCCTTGGACTGCTTGTAGTTTGCTAGGAAGCAAAACAGCTAGCTAATAGCCCTTGGGCCGAAAGTTTGCAGTTATCAAGGGCATCCATCCATTTTCACATCACCTTGGTAATCATGGAGGGAAGAGCCTCTTTCTCCACCATAAATCACTGTTTCTGCTTATCAATAGGTTTATGGGCATTCTGTTGCAACTCCCAAGACCAGGATGGGATTGTGTCTGTGAAGGGGGTAGAACCTGGTCAGCAACTGGAGCAGCAGGGAGATACATTTCCTTATGAGCAAAGGAGAAAGTGAAACAAAACAGTGCAAAAGCGAGAGCTCCAGGGGAGAAAGAAAATGGAAGAGAATCCAAGCGTGGATATGTCTGGAGGTAAGTGAATCCTACACTTTAGCCACCTACTAGGAAAATACCTTTACAAGAATATTCAGTAGTGCCATGAGAAACTTAAGCAACATAAAAATAATAATAATAAAAAAAGATAATCCCCTCTTTTCCAGGCCCAGAAAAGCAAGTTTCTATCTTTTTTTGAAGGGTGAAAGATTAACAAATTACTTTCAGTTTTGGTTGCCATCTGCAACAGGTTTAGACTGTGTTCAGGACAGCAGCATGAGTAAGGCTAATGATGGAGCTCCAGACTGGGACAGCTTTCTTCCCTGCATCCCAGTGCTTCCCATCTACAGATGCTTAAATAAGCCTGTTTTCCATCACCTATGGATGGGAAACCTCTGGAGGAGGCAGGGCAAGGAGTACTGTTTGTGCCCAGCTTGAATAGCAGGATACCTCCAGGTTCCTCATATTTCAGTTTCTACCATGTACTTACGTTCTCCAGGTGCCTTGTTAGGAGTACTACCTATCTCAGTGATACTGTGACACTGTAACCAGCTCAGATCTGTCCTAGGTGGTTAGAAGCGTTCCTGTAACACTCGGCAACAAGGAATGATGTAAAAATCACGCTCCAAAGGACAGCATGTCCTGACATGTAACAAGTGCAGCTTTTTCTCTGCTTTCAAAGTGATAGGGAGTTCCTTGCCACTTTTATCAGTCTTTATTTTAATTTTAGCATAATCATTTCTATGTTGTTGTAGTGCTTGATCATTCATAAGCAATTTTTCACAAATAGCACCTGAAATTTGAACTGCACTGTTTGTTTTGTAAGTTTCGGAATATGTTGCAAAGGCTTAATGTTCAGCCCCAGAACTCTATTGAATTATGCTCCAGTGTTTGCTTTTAATTATACATTACCACAGCTATTTGGGAGAGCAGCTCCAGAACAGGAGCAGAGAAGCAGCACAAGCAGAGCTAACATTTACATTCAGATTGATACTTCAAGTGCCTTGGCATAACTGTTCTAGCCAGTACTCAACAACAACTGCCTTAGAAATGCTTCAAATCCACCACCTTAATTTACCAACCTAGGAAAACCCACTATCTGTGGAAGATGCAGTAACATATCCTACCATTTAGTGAAAGAATTGCCTGCCCACCACACATAGGACAGCATGGGACAGAGGCTGAGATAGAGGTAACTTCCCTCATAGCAACCTATACAGTGCTGTGCTTTAAATTTGTGGTTTAAAAAACCCTAGATGTTATTCACACAGCAGTGTTTTGGCTATTGCTGAACAGTGCTGGCACAGTGTCAAAGCTTCATCTTTTTCCCTACTTTCCCCCTGCAAGCAAATACTCTGGGGTAGGCAGAAGATTGGGCAGGGACCCAAGGTAGGCAAGGAGATATTCCATACGGTATAATATCACGCTCAGCAATAAAAACTGGGGTAGAGGAAGAAGGGCGGGGGGGTTAACTTCCAAGGTGGTCACTGCTCAGAGAATGGCTTGGCATCAGTCTGCTTGTAAGGAGGTGGCAAGCAATTGCCTTTGCATCACTTGTGATTTCCCCCCCTTTCCTTCACCTTTTCACCCATCTTGATCTCGATCTGTGAGTTTTCTCATTTTTGGTCACCCTATTCTCTCACCAGTCTCACTACCTCACCATCGCCATCACAGGGGGTAGATATTTCTAAAGGACAAGAACTGGGAGTTTTATAGGGTGATGATAAAGCACGAGGTATTCTTGACTCCTGCATGGCTAGTTCAGCTTTTGAACTCTGATCCCAACAGCTGGGCCAGCTCCAGATGAGGTGGAGAGCACAGCAGAGCGCCCTGTGCACCAAGAGTCCACCCGAGAAACACTTGAGCACCAAGTGACAAGCAGGTGGCCTGAGACCTCCTGCAAACCAGAGGAGGACTCTTTAGCACGTAAGTCACCAGCTGCTGATGGAGAAGAGACAGCACTGTCAGAGTCAGCTGGCCCCACAGAAGAGGAGAAGGTTCCCCAGGAAACTGAAATATCACTGGAACAATCTGGGAAGACAAGAGATGGTGTCTCAGAAAGACCCCAGGAAGACGACAATTTATATGAAGGTGAGTCTCTCCCCTTCTGTGTGCACAGCGTTTCTAAAATGCTGATAACCTGGGCCTTTGCTTAGAGAAGGCAGAGCAGGAGAAACGGTTGTTGGTTCTTATGCTGAAAGGGACTAAACACAGGTCTGCAAATTTTATTCCATGCAGCTAGGCTGGCCCAGGATAAAATGGACAGCAAAGGAGACAGCCCTGATCACCAGGAAACACAGGAGGACCAGGAGACAAACAAGCAGTGTGAAAGCTCCTACACAGCAGAGGAAGATGCTCCATCAAGAAGGAAGTCACTGAGCTCTGACAGTAAAATGACATATTTGGATGTGGCTGCCACAGAAGATGTCACCAAGGGCCTCTTGACAGAGAAGAGCACTGGTGCCCCTCTCCTAGATCAGGAGCCAGAAGAGCACACAGAGCAAGAAACACAGGAGAGCAAATTCCAAGGCATGTTAAGGAACAGACATGGGACCAAAGGTGAGCTGGTGGCTGCACACTGCTGCTCTTCCACTGTGCACATGCCTATGCTTTCCATAGGCATTAGAAAAGTGGTATGGTGAGCTCTCTAGTGCCCACTGTCCATTTTCTGCAGTCAAACAGGAAAGAAGCCATAAGAAATTAACTGGTTTCTCTCTTTCTCTCTCCTTTGGCTACTGTCCTGCTTTGAAAGGCATGCAACTACACTACACTTGGCATAATCTCCTTCCCCTGCCTAACAAGTAGAGAGCCAAGACTCAAAGCAGTGTTAACCCAAAGTAGTATTCACTTCTAACTCTTTCCCTCAGCTGGGAGCTCCTGGCAGTTCTACTGCTTTTCTTATGGCTCAATTTGCCTGTTCCCTCAACAATGAGTGGCATATTTCTTTCTCTTGCTGTAGGGCACACAGCCCCAGAGCCAGAAGTTCAGTCCTGCTTGCAGAACGCTACCATCCAAAACACAGATCAGGAGAAGGCCAAAGAGTCCCACTGGCTGAAAGGTGAGGAAAAGAAGCTTCCCTTGCTTGTTATTCATCGACCAGAAGGCATTGATCCTCCAGGAACAAGTAATGAAGCACATTTAATAATTCTTCTTTCTCAGGACCTTTCATAGCCTTTTCTGAAGGTTTGAGGGGAAAATCATCCCCTTAAAAATAGCCTCAGTTTGACCCTATAGTAGCAGCTTTCCCTGCAGCTCTTCAGCCTCAAAAGCAGGCACATTGTGTTGAGCATGCTGGGAACACCCTGCCATGTCCTGGGAGGTCTGATGGTCTCCTGAGCTGATGATCCCCCTTCCCAGTCTCCTTCTGTGTCATGGGGCCTCAAGGAGGAACCGTGGTGCTGATCTGCACCACACATTTCTCCTGGTAGGAAGAGACCTTGCATTGCCATGGAGAAGGACACAAGCAGTTGTGTCTGGACCTCGCTGTCCTTTTTCTGGGCAGAAGCATGGCAGGTAACTTTTGTTCACCCAGCATAGCTAGGAGGAAGGCAGCAAATACAAGACTTCAGCTGGATCAGACACCTCCACATGTGGAGTTAGGTGCTCCAAATGGCCACAGACTTTAAAGAAAACAGAGGAGAGGGAAAGAGAAGTGGTCAGTTGCAATTTCCTCAGGAAATTTTGCACCTTGACAACAAAGCTGTAGCCTTGCCTCCATCTCTGGAGCTGTGGCCACCCCATCTGGTGTGCAGGAGCACAGGTCTCACAACCTGGAGCAAGCAGCCTCTTCACCATTCCTGGGCCCCCAGAGAGCATGCCAACCTGAACCACTTCCTTAGTGTAAGGGGGGAAGCTCTGAGAGGGGATAAAGAGCCCTTGTAGCTACTTTCCAGCATGTCACTGCAGGTCACTTGGGACTGACTTCTGTTCCCCATCTCGGGTCTCTCCCCTGTTGAACAGGGCTTTTCTTCATGAGCCTCATATTGGTTGGCTTCTTCATATTCTGCTTTGGCAACCCGGCCTCCAAGTCCCAGCAAGCCCCCAGGAACCCCACGGTGGAGGCGTTCCTGTCCCAGTTCAACCAGTTGCAGGACAGGTTTCCGGGGCAGAGTCCCCACCTGTGGGTTCGTGGGCGTAAGCTCCTGCAGAAGCACCTCAATGCATCCCACCACACGCAGCCAGCCATCATCATCCTCACAGCCTCCCACAAGGGTGAGCAGACCTTGCGATGCCTTAGCACCCGCATGGCTGACACCTACTCAGCCGCTCTGCATGCCAGCACGGTCCATATCGATGGCACAGATAAATCCAGGCTCCAGAGTGACCAGGCCAAGCTGGAGGTGGACTCAGAGCTGAGCTCTGCTTTCCAGGCTGGGGGCCGTGCTGCAGTGATACACCACTTCGAACTGCTGCCAGCAGGGGCCACCCTTATCTTCTACAAGTACTGTGACCATGAAAGCGCTGCTTTCAAGGACGTGGCCCTGCTGCTGACCGTGCTGCTAGAGGAGGAAATACTGGAGACACACATCAGCCTCCAGCAGGTGGAAGAGAGGGTCCGTGACTTCCTCTGGGCCAAGTTCACCAAGACCAGGACTCCCGGCTCCTATGACCACATGGACTCTGACAAGCTGAGTGGGCTGTGGAGCCGCATCTCCCACTTGGTCCTACCGATCCACCCAGTGCAGACCATTGAGAAGGGGGGCTGCCGTGTCCACACCAAACCTTAGGGGCAAAGGCTGCCAGAGCCCTGGGAAGGATTGGAAAGATGGTCCTGGCTGACTGGTGCAGGTGGAGACACAGCCAGTGCTATTTCTCTTCAGTTTGTTTCTTGTATCTTCCTGGGAAGAGTCTGACAGGTACAAGTTGATCCAGGCCACTTATCCCGCTGAGTCCTGGAGGTGACAGATCACATGCTTCCTTCTGGCAGATGGGAAGAATGGGTGCTTTAGACTGCTAATCACGCAAGAGGACATAGCTGTGTAGGGCGGCAGGAGAGAAAACAGGACTTTGCAGGTAGCGTTTCTATCAGGAAATACACAAATAACATACACCACTAGTATGCCAGAAGACACTTCAGCTCAGTAGCTCTTTCATTTATGCCTGCCCCTCAGTTTGCTAATATGGTATATACATCAGTCACACAATATGCTTTATTTAGAAGTTTTATCTCTCTTTGCAGAGAGACGCTGGAACACAGGAAGGTCAAATTCCCCAAAGCCCAACATTTTGAAGGCGTGCTTCAAAGAGAAAACCAGTTTGTTACTCAAGGGTTTGATCAGTCAGTCCTGATAGAGTCACACTTACACAGACTAAATGACACCCAGCAAAGACCAGATCCTAACTTTGTAGTTCAGAAACCCCCTAAACATCAATCATAATAAGTTACAGGTTGTCAGCACATGACTACTGCTCTAAAGGAGGAGGGAATCCCATATGTCAAAGAATAAGCTCCAGAGACAGAGAGCAATGAAACAGAAACCACCTCAAGGAATTGCACAGGTGAAAAAATGAGTAATACAGTTTAACTTAATACTACCTCTTTAAAAAAAGTCCACTCTTGATCTTTTTGCCACTACAAGGCTATGACCATCTCTTTGGGCTGATGCACCTGCTTTGGTCCTACCCTGATCTCTCACCTGTGTGTAGGGCAGGAAGCTTCCTGCCTGCCTCTCCCCAGCCTACTTTCATTGATGAACGTAGATGTTAACATTGATATTTATTTCAAACCATGTAGGGGAGCACAGCAGGTCATTGCCCTCCAAGGGTACATTTGCCTTGCTGCCTGGCAGCTGGTGGCTCTGGCGTATGCTAAAGCAACTAGGAGCAGAGCTGGGATTAGCTAGTAAAAACAAAAATATCTGGTGTTGACACTAAAAGTCCTCAACAAAGCAGGTTGCTTTCTTACCACATCTCTTCTGCATCCCAGAAAGAGAACTCTGAGTCCTAGGAACACTATGGTACCCCTGCCTACTGTGTTTCTGCAGATGCTTGGAGGTAGAGCAACCATCTCAAGAATCACCTAGGGGGTAGGTGCAGATTACAGCATTTATAATAACCCAGCAGTCAGCCCCAGGTGTCAGCCCCTGTGCTGATGGTGCTGTCTGCTGGAGAAGGAGCAGCTGTAGCAGAGTACAGCTCATTCCCATATAAGCAGCACAGACTGGGACCTTCCAGAGTTAGGCTCCTGTGACTGGGTGAGGCACAAATTGAGAATATGATGGTGTTTTTACAAGCAATGTTATCTGCATGTTCCTTACAGCAACTGGACCCTGATGTTGGCTAGGTATCCTGCCAACAGTGCCTTGCTTATCTGCCCCACTGATGGCTCAGCTGAGGTACCGTCCTGCACCCTAAAATCACAGCCTGTCTTTTCTTCCCTCCTGTTGTGTGCCTTGTCCTGTCTCAGGAGATTTGTGTAACTTGGAGAAGGGGACAAAGGAAGAGGAGGGGGTTATTTGTTCACATTCCAATCAAAAAGAGACTTTTTGGTTGGTTGGGGACATGAAGACAAGACCACAGGTTTTAACTGTGACAAACACTGGGCTAGATGTGAGAATTATCTGCTGCAGCTCAGCATCAGCAGGGCAGCCCAGGGCATGGTTTTGTAGAAGATAAGGGTTACTTCCTCCCCTCCCTCCTTTTTATTGCTATACACTACTTTGGTAATGGAAAACACTGTTTTTGCTCTGCAGAGTGCAGCATGGGTGTTGGTGTAAGAGCCAGCAGAGCATTAATCATTTTATGTCAGTATCTTGAGGGAAATCTGTATTTTAACATTATCTCACTCAGTTTTATGTACTGTGTTTGTAATGCATAGCTAAGGTATGCAAGGGCAACTTCACACTGCTTGGGCACATTCCTGTAAGCATCATCCACCCCAGCTTTTCTAATACAGAGATATTTTTATGACCTTTTAAAGACAAAATATCTGCTTGCTTCTGAAACAAGACTTCTATTTAAAAATAAAGAATGTGATTGTGAAAGAAAACAGCAAAGTCTTTGAAGTGATACTGGAGTCTTACCATATTCTGTTTGTTGGGGTTTTTTTCTAGCTCTTTTCAGTGCATTAAGCATATCATCATATTGGACAAAGTTTCATTTAGGTCAGGGCTGTAGCTGTGCAAACAAAGTGAATATCTGCTTTTTGCAGAAAAAACTCCAAACAACTTTTTTCTCAGTTGTTTGGAGCAAACATTCACAGCTTTTTCAGATAAGGCAAAACTAAAAACAAAGCCCTGAACAGCTGCTGAATTCAATCCAGACTGAAACATACTGAGGTCTGCATAATATTTTAATGATAATAATGAAATTGAAATCCACTGACAACTGAAATATTTTAGAAATACAGAAAGCAAATATTTGTCATTTCAACACCTTTGATCAGATCAGTTCCACCCAGTCACGCCACCTCAACACACACCAATTTTTATGGTTTTGATTAATTATTTTGCCTAGCTCTGGCCTAAACAGAGAGAGGGCTGGGGAAAAAAAAATATTTACCCTCTAGTTCTGTGTTCTCTTCCGTTCCTGGCAGCCTAAATACTCATAACATTGGCATATATTTTCACAGTAATGTTCATGTGATTGGTTGCCAGAATTAAATATCACTCATCACCTATTGTCCAATATGAGAGTCCAAGAGGTCCTTAGCTCAAAGATTCAGATGAAAATCCAGCATCACCAGGTGCAGTGATTGCTTGATGCCAAAACCAGGCTGCTTTTTTAGTCTTGCACATGAATTCAAAAGTGAGTCCAAAGGGAGCAGCTGAATGAGCTCCGAGTGCACCGGTGTTTTTCCCCAAGATGCTGTGCTCACTGTGATCTATGCTGGTAAACAGCATCATCATCATCCTTGTACCTGCTCCAAGAACCAGACTAATCCGAGGGTGGAAGTGGTGCCTGCTGTTGAAAAGAGGCTGGGAAACCAGGGCAGGCAAATCCAGAGGCTGCTCAGCAGTGATTGCACCTCTCCATAAACTTGAGGGATAAATCTGCAGCCTGTTCAGAACAAGGATCTTTAATATGTGCCAAGCAAGAGCCTCCTGCAAGTCCCTGAAACAGCCAAGCAGTGCTTGCCTGAGAGGGAGAGATGCCAATGCAGAGGCACAAGGCCAAAATTCCCACCCACTGTGCTGAGCCACAACATTTCCACACAATTGCCTTCCTTCTGCACCCCGGTGGGGCTGGCTCTGGAGTCACTTCAGGGGGGACAGCAGGACCCCCAGCAAGGTTTCTCCCAGCCAGGGATTCGGGTTCCCTTCTTTTTCCCAGACTATGAGTTAATTCAGAAACGTTCCACTCCGGCGTGTCCTTCCCCAGCACATGGGTGCAGCAACTCATCAAGGGAGACCACTGCAGAGGATGGGGGGCACAGCCAAAGCTCCTCCTTCCCACCAACTCTGACGGCTGTAACAGGTCAGAGCAAGAGACTAGGATGGAGCAGAACATAGTTCAGCTCTGCACCATCTGAGGCAAATTAATTTGTTCCTCCTGGGCACCACGTCCACATGTGCTAGTGACAGCTCTTCCCTTCAGCTGTGCCCCATGCACCTGGTTCATAATCTCTGGCGGCATCTCTTCCTGCACATACACACATTGCCCAAGCACGGCAAGGCCATGGGTTTGGCTGGAGCTTATCTGTTGTCTGCTGTTAGGTCAATGCTATCGCTAAATGATTTTTCAATTTCTAATCTACAAAAAAAAAAAAATTCTACTTGGCCTTTTAATGCATCCTCCTCCTCAACCATCTTTTCCTTTGTTTTTTCAGTCCTGCTTCCTGCAGCTGTAGCTCTGCAGAGAAGGATATGATGCCACAAGGTGTTCAACAACCCTAAAAATTACCTTGAAAATTACATAGCAGCTTAACTGAGGGGCAAAACCAGTTCTTGATGGATAGTCTGGACTGCTCTGCCATAAAATTAGCAGGGATTGTACATGTGAGCATGCCACTGCCTTGTGAGCTGATATAAACTCATCATCCTTAAAGGTGAGTGGACCAGCCAGGGCTGCACAGGCTTGGCACGCCACCCTGCATGCCCTAGGGGGTCACTTTCAGCCTACAAAAGCTCCATTGTAAGAGAGATTTGCAGATATTGTGAGCTTAAGCCTTTTTCTATTTCATCCCTTCGCCCCTCCAGGGGAAGCAGCCTTACAATAAACTGCACAAAGGATCTTGGCCTCAGCCTGCGGGATGAGGATCCAAGAGCCTGCAATAAAAAGGCTCGAAGAATACAGCCTGCAAGCATGTTCCCGATACAGGGAAGGGGCAAAGCCATGAGCAGACCTCCCGCTGGCCTCTCCCGCTCTGGCGAGGGCACTCGAGAGCTATGGATCCTCTAGGAGCCAGAGCAGAGGCAGCAGCGTGGTTCGACATGAGGAATGGAAACAGTCTCCCCACACCATACCTCCTTTGAGGTCTGCTCCATGTTATAAACTGACGTCTTAAAATCGGCTGAGTCAGAGTTCCCAATTTCTTTATTTAGCAAGCGGCAACAAGCAAAACAGCGCTGGGCGGCCGGGGAGTCTCCTGCTCCAAACAGCAGACCGCACCCTCCAGGGCACTCTGTGTCACTCTTATACTACAAAGTATTACATAGTCATTATACAGCTATACATATTCATTACTTGAACCCGCCTACTCCCGCTCTGTATGGTAATTAGCTTATCCGTCCTTTACGCTTGCGCAGAAGTTGTTAAATCTACGGTCAGGGGTCTTCAAATCGTGGGGGGTGGTCTTCTGGGAGGGAGGCCGTAGGTCCTCCTCACCGTGTACGTTTCACCTTTCGCTTGGAATGTGATGATCCTCGGAGTTTGCAGAGTTCTTATCAGTCTAGGCCCAGTAATCTCTTTGCATAATGAGATTCATGGTCGTGAACATCCTCCTGTTTTATTCAATTATGCGCCTGCAATTCTCCACATCTTCTGACATACAGATGCTTCCTCTCTTGTCGTCCCCCCCACCTTCCTGTTACTTTTTTTTTTTTTTACACTATCATGTTAGTTCAATTAAGCATTTGCTGTTAGTATTACACAATATGCAATAGTTCATATTACAGTTCACTGAATTTGATGAACAGACGGTTTACCACCTATCACAACCCCCCTTTTTCTTTTAACCATGTTGTTCATCAAATCTTTTGAGTGCTTGCTGGCTCAGGATGAAAGTTTCCTCCATTTTTGGTGTTCCTCACAGAGGTTCACACTTAGTTCCCATGATCATTAAATGAGTTGTTTCTGATTTCTACTATCTTATTGAATATACAAGGACCAAAAGTTAAGATTAAAATTAATAATATGAACGGCCTTGCTCCTGGGTACCCAATCTGAGGCTATAGTCTCACATCCCCAATACTTAGAATAGAATTGGTCAGGATAATTGCAGTAGCTTTTTCCTGGGTTGGAACTGGGGCAAATATAAAATCCTGAATCCTGGGTGCAAGGTGTTACAGGCACCAGTGTACACAGGGGACTTACAAATGATGGTGCCCCTGATGTTATTATAGTCTGTATTTGCTTTTGGTTACCTCTTTAAGTAGTTAGAGTCCATTCAAAAGGTTGATGGGGCTGGTGGTTCAGTCCAGCCCATGCTTGTGGTATATGTGTTTTGAGTAGTATGCTCAGAATGGACTGAGAAGGGTGGAAACTCCATTTCTTTGTTATCCAGATAGTCAAATAAATCCAATAGAAGGTTGGTGGGATTCTGAAAGTTTTCACAACTTCTATAGAAGGGGGGGGGGGCCTTGCTTCTTTAGAGTCAAGGTGCTTTGCACCCATTTCTGGCCTTTACTTCTTGGGAGCCTTTTTTCCCCCCTCAGAGTAGGGTTTGAAGTTTTTCCCCACCGGTGTACGTCTCTGCCTCCTCTGCCTCCTCTGTTGCGTAGAGCAGCAGTCGTATTATTCTTCTCGGCAGCAATCGTATTCTTCAGGGGTATGTTTATACCTCTACTCCAGGATACATAGGCCTCCCAGTTTTTAGCTTTAACCTCAGGCCCTTGACAGGGAATTTGAAGTTGGTACTTTGTGGGCCAGTTAGGGTGAGTGTACTCTTTTTTTTTTTTTTCCCCCAGGATTTATTCCTTTAATACCTATTTCCCACCAAGTTTTAGAGTTGTGTTTTGGTGGTTTTTTTTTTGTGGTGGTTTTTTGTTTGTTTGTTTGTTTTTCCAATTGTTTTCCCCGTTGTTATTACAATTTTAAGACCTAGTTAGTTAGTGTCCGTTCCAGTCAGTAACACTGGTTACAGCTAGATTGGAGGCTCACCTCAAATGTATTATGAATCCACCAGCCTTCTTTGCATATGTTATACTCTATACACACAAAAGGGAAACAAATACAGGTTTCAATTGGACAAAATATTAATGTCTCACTTATTGAGTCCTTTTGTGGTGTCTTGTACCTTGATTTTCACAGTGTTTGTTTAGGTCTTTCGAAGGGTGACTCGTAGATCCCCGGGAGAGCTGGTCACTTGCCAGGATGAATCTCCTATCGGTCCTTTTACACGACTGGTATGTGTCCACCCCTTCTCAGCAGTTCGAATAGCAGTTTCTGTAGTGATAAGAACAACATAGGGTCCTTCCCAAGGGGGTGGTCAAGGAAGATTCTTTCCACGATTTAATCAATACTCTATATCCTGGTTGAATTTGATGCATTGTTATGTCCAAAGGAGGCCTTTGTACCACCATTCCCCGGGCTTGTAG